TTTTTAATTTTATTTTTTTTCACATTCTGTCTCTCACAGTTGAAGTGTACCTCTGGTGCAAATTAGTGACCTCTGTCATCATTTTAGGTGGGGGAACTTGCACAATCGGTGGCTGACTAAATACTTTTTTTGCCCCACTGTAGCTCTTATGTGCAGACACAACACTGGTTCATCTCTTGAGTTAGGAACTTTGTTTTATGATTGAATGAGTCATATATTGTGTTAAATTGGCTTAACAAACAAAAACATTTCTCCCTAAATGGTCAGAGTGGAAAAGCAGCAAATGTACAAAGAAACACATTGAAAGACGTTCAAAAAGCCTGGAGAAATATTGCTCAACAGCACTTTTAAAAATGAAAGAAAGTCTGACTTCTTGAAGAAATAAGATGTGGCTCGAGACCTCTGCTCAGTAGGGGAAAGTGGGGTAATTTGTGCCACTCCTTTTTTCTAGGGAGCCATAGAAGAAACTGATCAAGTGGCAGTACATTTGTGAAGAGTCAGCCATTTTACTCATCCTGCAAAGAAGAGAGCCTCACTGCATGAGAAATAGGCTCACTTAAGTTTAAAAACTGTAAAATTTCTACAATCAAGGTTCTTTGATTTTTTTTTTGTCTGAACAGTTATAGACAAGTTTGAAAACACTTCCCAAATTTTCTAGTCCTTTGGTAAGCTACACTATGAGTCTATACGCCATGCTTTTTTTTTTTTTTTTTTTTCAAAATGTTGGGGTTGGCATGATTTGGGGCCTGGGTTAAGTTTGGCCAGTGGCACAACTCCCCCAAATTAGATGGTAGATGGAAAAGAAACAAGGCTATAAAAGGATATAAAAGATCTGGACCGGCCAATCAAGTCTTTGACAAACATATTGAGAAAGAGCTGGTAGAACACATAAAAGCACTGGTAGCTTTTATGTGTTCATTTCTTTTTCACACTCAAAAGCCAATTCACATTATTTGAATATGCACAAAGAAATGACTCAGTTATCAAAATGCGAGAGTTCCCAGGGAAGCAAAACTGGGTACTCTTTTAGAACGTGTAATCTGAAAGTAATTGTGATTGTCACTGTGAACTTTGCAGGCAACACCAAATCCTACAACTACTTTGGATTTGTTTGATACGGTTGATGGTGCCGACACTGGGGCTCATTTTCACTTTGAAAGAAAATGATGACGGAGTCTTCCCTAGATAAGATGTGCATAAAAAACTACCCACAGCCAGAGGGGAGCAGTGGGTAGCATCAACATGTGGGATGTTATGAAATAGACCAGATCTGTGAAGGGAATTGCAGTTAATTTTGTCTTCATTTGAGTTTCATTTTGTTCTGAACATGTGTTCATGTGACACTAGGCCTTGTTTAATAAAACTGACTTTTGATGTGCTCATATGGCACAAACCTTAGATAAGTAATTTTGTGTTGAATTTGTCCAGCTATTATAGAGCATTACAGTTTCTGAGATCAGTGGCACAATTTACCCCAAGGCATTCTCTTCAAAGGCACAACTTACCCCGGACTGGGGGCAAGTTGTGCTGCAAGGCCACCACGGATGATTGTGGCTCAAGAGATGGGAGATCGCCTTGGAATCGGAAGGTTGCCGGTTCGAGCCCAGGCTTGGACAGTCTCGGTCGTTGTGTCCTTGGGCAAGACACTTCACCCGTTGCCTACTGGTGGTGGTCAGAGGGCCCGGTGGCGCCAGTGTCCGGCAGCCTCGCCTCTGTCAGTGTGCCCCAGGGTGGCTGTGGCTACAATGTAGCTTGCCATCACCAGTGTGTGAATGGGTGGATGACTGGATGTGTAAAGCGCTTTAGAGTCCTTAGGGACTAGTAAAGCGCTATATAAATACAGGCCATTTACCTTTTTTCAGAAAGCTATATTTCTTAAATGCTATATTTCACATCCAGGGATGCACAACACCCTGAAAGGTGGAAGCATTACTGTCATCGCCTCTCTTTAAAGTCACTTTAAGTAAAAACTGGCACAACTCACCCCTGGCCTCATAAACCAGGGGGTATGGGTTTGAGTCCCATCTGGGGAGACCTCCAATAGAGTTTTGCAGTATGTGTAGGACTCATAACCCAGAAAAGAGTCAGCAGCCATGATGGTTGGTGCTTCAGTCTCTAGTTTTTCCAGTTCTTGATCATGCTGAAACTCACATACTCTCCAATGTGTCCATTGGGGTGCCTTGGCTGCTTCACTGCCACTAAAAAAATCACAAGTCAACACTCACTATTGTTTCACAGGGGACTTCCTGGAGCCCTGAAGGGAAACTTTGTCCACTACCACCAAACCGTAGGGTCTGGAAAATGAGGCTGCATTCAAAATACTTTGGTTTTAAATCAGTTCTGCTGTTTTTGTCTGTAATATGATTAACATCCAATCTCTGGCTATAAAACCATTGTTCAGAGGATTTTTTTAACATCACTTTTTCAATACAATATTTCCCTTGTAGGCAACAATGTGTCAATTAAAGTGATACTAGCAGTGGGAGGTGTTTAAAAACCAGAGGGAAGTTGTAAAAGAAATAAAGATGAGATTAAGCTAAGGCTATAGAAGAAATACCAAGAAAACATATTCCCTGGATATCCAACAAATTGTTGTTGACAGAGAAAACTGAACGCCGTCCTTCAATGGTGAGAATTTTGTTGTCAGCCCAGAGTTTTCATGCCAGTGAGAATAACTCACGCCAGAGGCTGGATCCTTTCTCATGCTCCTTTCCCAGTGTGCTTTAAGTGTTTTTTAGAGGGGCGTCAGTGAGGTGGGGTTGGAGGGTGCACAGGAAGGAAAAGGTGTAGCTGGGAAATCTCATCGAGGCTCCTCAGCGAACAAGAGGACACCCCAGTCAGGATCTGGGCGCCGCTGCCAAGTCATCTCAGGGTCGCAGACTGCAGCGGCCGTCGTTTCGGTGAAGCAGGCACAGAAAGCCTTGCAGAGAAAACCCCAAAATGTAAACATGCATGTGAGCGGGAGGGCGTGGAAAGAGGAGAAGGAGCCTTGGTGCTCATGTGCAGTGTTTCCTCAGGAGATGAGGAATGACTTCCTCTCTGAGATTAGCAGAAGACTGCACAGTTTCTGGGGACAAGCACTTCCACATGCCCGTTTATAATAATAACACTATTGATATGCATTCATACAGTGCTCATTTAGCGCTCCATCAGGGTGATAGACATGAATTGTTTTCATGTTATACTGATTTGCCTTAGTTTTAATATTCAAACATCTATCACACCCTCCTAGCTTCACTTTTTATTTAGTGCCATCAGCCAAAAGTTAAGTCCAAAGCTTAAATTTCCAAACCCTGCATGCTGACAGTGTCTCTATGTTCACATCTGCATGCTCATAGAAACTGTTTCATGACACAAAATATAATTTTTTAAGACGCTATTCTCTACAGGCAACCCTGGTAATGTGCTAACAGCCAGTAACTCCCCACTCCAACCGAAGAAGGCCGTCCCTCCCTGAGCCTTTTTCTGCTGGATGTTTCTTCCTGTTAAAAAGGAGTTTTTCCTTCCCACTGTCACCAAGTGCTTTCTCATAGCTGGGTTTTTTATTGGTGGGGTTTCCTCTATATTTTTGTAGCGTCTTTACAATACAAAGCGCCATGTGGTGACTGCTGTTGTGATTTGGTGCTATAAGTAAAAATGAATTGAAACAAATTGAATTGCAACCAATTTTACTCAGTGACGGCTGGTTGTTGACCAGTCTCCTGGCCGGCATGACCCAAGGGAGTAAATCAGAGATGAATAAAGGTATGCAAATGGAGAAACATAAATTTTGGTTTGTCAGATTGTCAGAAATGCACAGACTACATGCAGACCACATGCTCTTACATGCATACTCAGTCCTTAAGTTTTAGCTTCTGCATTAGCATGACAGGCAGGATAAAACCCACCAGTGACAGATACACAACATAGCCATTCTTGATAGTTTAAGAAAATCAATTAAATGCAAATAAAATTGATCTTTATTTACATATTTTAAGAATATGTATAAACATATAAGATATAAGCTCATTGCAATGAGGTAATATGCTCAACGTAGTCTTAAAAACGGTACAATAAATGAATAAGAGTTGTTCATGTCTTTGATTTGTGAAGCAGTGAGGGATTCATTTGTTAAATTACTCCTGCTGAATTTTACTTGCAGAAATAATGTACATCTAAGGTGCAAAGTGGATAAACTCGAGCTGCATTTACAGCAAAGGTTCTTTGCAGCAAACCGATGGAAACGTGTGCATAGCCACACTTGTCAATCTGGCTCCGTACAACTTTCCACACTTCAAATGAAAATAGCAGGGCCCGACTAAAAATGACCACCTCGACAGATGTGCAGCGAGCTCGGGCAGCAGGAAATGGCGAGAGTGTCACGTCTTTCAGCAAGCGAGGAGAGGAGAGGTCGACCCAGAAACATATGCTGCCTGACCTTTGGCTTTTTCTTCCTGTAAGGACGCCTTCCCGCTCCCTCTCTCTCCGGCTGTCTTTTTTTTAAAATGTTGCCATTGGAAAAATATTTAGTCAGATTAATAAGTATACACTTATATTGGATTTGTATTTTTTTTTAAATATATATTTATATAATGGAGGATCTATAAAACAAAATCATCAGCATTTATTTACCCAAGCCACCTGGGTTGTTGTGCTCAGATGTTGAAATCTAAAGCACTGGCTCCCTCTAGTGGTGAGATAGTGGGTTTTTGAGTTGGGTAGAATGGAGGGCCATGAGGGCCAAAATAAATTAACTAAATATACAAGCAATTCATTAAATGTAATTATTTATTAAAATTGTAATTAAATAACTGTATCAAATGTTGTAAATGAAATAAATTGATATTAAGTATTAACATATTTAATTAATCACTTCTAGTTCAAATTAATTAATTAAAATTGATTAATAATCTAATATATGTATTAATTTCATTTTGGCACTCGTGACCCTGCATAATTTCAATCAAAATGAACGTTTATTCACCTTTTCTTGCTTTGGTTTTGAGGAGGAGCAGAGTCAGTCCAAAGAAAGACATTTTATTCAAACATCCATAGTCAACAATAAACAAATAATTTGCCATTTACAGTCATTCCTCGCATTTACAGTCGTGTTAAAAAGGAGATACAAATGGTTTCCGCTAAATGAGTTTCTGCACAAAACTTAATAATTTAGTTCAAACATACTTTTCAATGAAAATTAATAACTACTGTTAACTCTCTCTCTCTCTCTCTGTCTCTCTATCCTGGCCTTTGGATGTGCATGTACTGAAAAAAAAAAGCCATAAAAATGAAAAGGTTTGAATGCTTTTATTCACTGTAAACCTTCACTTCTTATGTTAACTCGTCTGCAAAGACTTTTCCACAGTTGATGCAAGGTTACATTCCATCTAAACTGCAGAGAACTTGTCTAGAGTTTGGTGAATTTATCGACGAGGTGAATAAATTATATCCTAGCGGTTGCGAAGCTCTCGTTCGCTGTGCTTCAACAACTTCTGTGAAACATCTGGCCTTCGTCTTTCTCCCAGAAAAAGAAGTCCCCCCTTCCCTGTCCTGTTCCCCATAATCCCTGATGATGATGTTACTCAGTTTCAGTCAACCCTGTGCTGGGGATTCTTGTTTTATGAGAAGCACACAGGGCCGATGTCCAGGCCAAACTCCTGATCAGCTTGTCCGATGTCCATGGGGGCCAAGTCCATGATAGGCAGCCTGGTTGAAGTTTGAGTCCTGTACTCAATCACCGTCCGACCCCATGCGCCATTTGATTTCTAAGGACAACAACAGAAACATCAGTCAGTGTATTTTCCAGGAAAAACAAATTTAGGCATTTTATCGAAGACTCACCGAGCAGCCGTCCTCAATGACAGTATATCGTAGCCGGTTGGAGCCTTGAGCTCTCAGTTCTTGACCATTGAAGGCTCTGAGGACCAGTGCTTTCTTCAGATCCCCACTGTTCTCGTCGTTGTAAGCAACGCTGTTCCTGCAGTGGTAGGTGACGTTCTGGTGCGACTCTTTGGACAAAAGCTGTAGCAACTTCAGCTGCACGGCCACCGCGTTTGGTTGTTCCTCCTTGTTGCCGTAGCGGAACTGAAATCACACGTCATATGAACAGCTCAGTGATTTGTTTTAAGTAACTACACCATGCATGCCACTTCTAGAAAAGCATCCACTCCTTACCCTGGTGCCACCGTTCATGTCAGCCTCGAACCAGATGGGTTTGTTGTCATTGGGCCTTGATTTCGTCCACCAGGCTTTGCGGGGAATGTTGGGTGGGTTGGCAGAGATGCAGGTTTCACCAGTCTCCATATTGCAGAAGACCCTGATGGCATCTTTTACGCTTCCTTGGTTTGGATCAATCCAGTACTGACCTGTATGAGAAATACAAGTGCCATCACTGAAACTGTAGAAAAATCAAAATCTAATAACCAGTAAATGGTTGAAGAAGTGCAGATCCTGACCGCTGCTTTTCTGTGGGTAGCAGTTCTTGATGTCCTGGCAGGTTTTGGCAGGGTTCCTCTTGCTGCCGTCAGGACTGCGGAAGTTCTGCAGATTTCCACTGAGGCTCTTCAGCGTGGCGTGGATGCCGGTGTCTGCCCGCAGTGTGGCCGAGTTCTTGTTGGGAAGGGCTTCATCTTTGTTGAACTCGGGAAGCAGAGGAGGTTCTGCGGCCACAGCGTCCTCAATGAATTCCACGGCTTCAGGAATTCCTTGTGCTTCGTAATCGACCAGGCCAGCAAAAAGGTCTTCAGAAAGTGAGGTGGGAGGTCCTGGGGATCCTGGAGGGCCAGGGGGGCCTGGTTCACCAGGTGGGCCCTAAATAATGAAAATGATTAATTACCTTTCTAGTTACTAAAATATAAAGCTATTTTTGATCCAAAGAGGATGATCTACTATGACTTTGTTCCTCTTGAAATTTTATTGAGTATCTCTCTTTGACTTCTAACTTTAACTTTAGGTGTAAAGTATCACATTGCCATCCTAAAATATGATTCATTATGCTGTGACGATGAAAATCCATCCCACCGAATCTTTGGCGATTGGCAAACGTGAGTTTTCAGCTAATATTTTCATGCTTTTGTTGAGAAATCACAGGCTAAAAGCAACAAGTTTAAGCTCTGTCCAGAATGATGCTTTGTTTACAATGCAATTTAATTCAGTTTTATTTATATAGCTCCAAATCACATCTTTCCATCTTCCCAGTCGTGCCCCCGTGTCTGTCTGGCTTCCTCGTTTATTCTGAACAAACAGCATTCACTGTAATTTTATCAGATGTATCCAATGTAATGCATGAACCAGAGAGAAAACCGTTGTACAAGCACATAAATGTATTTTGTACTGATAAAATAAGTGTGGTAAAGTGCTCAAAGTCTGACTGCGGAGTGCAGAAATGTTCCTGGAATATGTCACAATGGAAATTTTTGTACACGCTTGTTTCATCTATGCAGGAAAAAAAAAATCACAGCTTCTTTCACCTGTGCTCCGACATCTCCGCTGCTCCCTCTGCTTCCAGGAGGACCCATAGCTCCAGGGTGGCCAATGTTTCCTTCCTTACCTGGAGGACCGACCACTCCAGGAGGCCCCTGTGTGGATATCAGAAAAACATTTTCACAAAACGACAGGAAGAGAAATTATGTTTAGTTTTTAATGTGATTTTGATTATTGCTTACCCTCGGACCGCTTGGTCCAACGACTCCTATAGCTCCTGCGTCTCCTGTGGCACCCTAAAACACAAAGGAGTACATTAAAACTTCTAATTTCTTGTTTCCATGATGTAACCTTAATGTCCACACATCTTTCTTACTTCTGTTCCTTGCAGGCCTTGGAGCCCGGTGAATCCTCTGTGACCTTTCTGACCCCTCTCCCCAGGCTCTCCAGCAGCTCCTTTGTCCCCCTGTGGTCCTTGAGGGCCAACTTTTCCCCGTATTCCTGGCTGTCCTTGGGGTCCAGGAGGGCCTCTTTCACCCTAAAGTCAAAAGAGACGTAACAGTTGTGGATTTAAAGATGTAGCTCGAGTTTAATGCTGAACTTTAATCTGTTGCTTGCTGTTAAAAAAAAGAGAACTAAAAAAATTAATTGGCTAAAATATCTGATGGGAGATAACAGTGGGTACTCACAGTAAAATAAATAATATACTTTTATTTTGAAAATCAGCAAAAGAACAAATTGTCTATGTTGGTGTCTGGGATTGTTGCCCATTACTATGTGTGTCCACATGAGAGTGAGAGTAGCTTTAAACTATGAATGGCAGCTGAGACACTGCAGCTGTGATGATTTGGCTTTAAACTGAGCTGGAATTACATATCTATCCAATACTGTATGGATAAATAAATAATTAACTCTCAACAGGATTACATTTGTGTACGTCCATTTCAAGGAGTCTTACAATCAGATTCAGCCATTTATCTGAAATGCAAGTGAAAACACATCAAAAGTATCCACCAATCAGAGACAGGAAGGAGATGACCAATCAGATAATGGCATTTAAATAAGCCATAACTCATTAACTGTCAGTTGTTCACACCTTTGTCAGTTACACAGCTGTTAAAGTTGAAAGGCCTGATTTAGACTTCTGAGGGGACGTTTTGTGGAGCCTACAGCGTAAACATGAGAGGCTGACATCATTATCAGTATTACTAGGCTGCTGGATTACATGTTAATTACCACATGGCCGTGTCCTCGTGTTTTACATCTGGTACCATCCATGATTTAAAAAAAAAAAAAAAAAAGTTAGAAATTTATCCCTCTTTGTTGTGGTCATTTTTTTCAGAGACCTTCTAGTTTTTGTAGTCCTGGTTGATCTGTTTGTTAAACTCACATTTACACCCATTTGACCTGGACTGCCTGTTATTCCCACTGGACCCTCAGTACCTGGAGACCCTGGACCACCAGCCAGACCCTCTGGGCCAGGATTGCCCCTGTCACCCTACAAACAGGCCAGAGATTAGACCACACCAAGCCTCTAAAACAAACACACAGATACATTTTATACATTTTATCTTACCCTTTCTCCGACTAGGCCGTCCTTACCAGGAGGCCCCTCAGCTCCAACAATACCCTGAATAAACAAATGATATTAGAAACTTAAGATCTGAGAAAAACAAAACAAGAAATTGTTCACTTCTGATAAGAGGAAGGAAAAACCAGATCTGTGATATATAAGGCTGAGTCATCTACAAAAACTCACATGGCACTATGATTTCCAGGTGTTTAGCTGAATGTACTGATACTGAAAACAAATTTTATGTGCTGTCGTTGCTAAAGGCCACAAACCTGCAAGCCTGTAACTGACAGGTTAAAAGAAATGTGACAAAACTGCTGTCTTAATAAACTTTTAATACGTTGGTGAATACTGAACACTCAAAGAAATCTGCCTTTGAGCTACAGAAACATTCTAGTTATGTTTTCTAGACATATACAGCACTTTCTGAGAGTCACTTTAGATTGAAGCCTTAAACCGCTTAAATAAAAGTCAGATTTGATTTATACAGCTCCATCTCAAGGACAAACCTCGGGTCCAGGATCTCCTCTTGGCCCAGTGGCTCCTGGTAAACCGATACCCCCAGGAGGACCAGTGCTTCCCTGAGGTCCAGGTGCTCCTGCTTTTCCCGGTTGACCCTGAGACACAAATAAACACAAACCTCCTCATCTAACTCTAACATAAAAAATGGCACTGCTGAGGAGCAAGTTGCCTTTGTGAGCGATAACAATAAAGAAGAAACATTAGCGGGAGCACTCACAGCAGGACCTGGCAGTCCCAGCAAGCCTCTCTCTCCCCTGACTCCGGGTTGGCCGACAATTCCTCGCTGCCCTGCGGCGCCAGCAGGTCCTGGAGGCCCATCAGGACCCTGACGGAGAAGCACCAGAGCTGATGAGCAACTGAAACATCTCTGAATTTGAACAACAACAAAAAACTTCATCTTACAGGAGGACCGTCCTCTCCAGATTCTCCTTTCTCTCCAGATCCGCCGGGTGGCCCTGGAGGTCCATGCTCGCCTTGACGTCCCTGACCTCCGTTCTCTCCTCGAATCCCGGGAGGACCCTGCTTTCCTGGAGCACCTATAGGCCCGTCTGCTCCAACTGCACCCTGAAATACAAACATAAAAGTGACTTAATAAAAGAAAACTGGATGTTTTTGTGCATCCCAGTTCATTTACACTATGTCAGGTCTTTAAGGTTTGTTTTTATAAGGAACTCACAAGAGGACCAGGTGGACCAACTCCTCCAGGCAATCCAGGAAAACCGGGGGAGCCCTGTGGGAAGGAGACAAGTTTTACCTCAAATATGTTCATCACTGAGTTTTGGAGAGCCTTGTCCGGGTCAAAATACTCACCGTTGGACCCTTTGTTCCTCTGCCACCTTTCAGCCCGGTCACACCAACAGGTCCCTGAAAAACACAGACACAGGACAATTTTTCACACGACCCATCTACTTCCTGTCAAGTTACTCATTAAGAGAAACGAAGGTCAAATGTAGCTCTCAAAATAAGTAAAGCATAACCAGAGACACTTTTTTCTCTCAGAATGTATGCCAATTACATCCAAGCGACATACGAAATGCATGCCAATCACCCTCATGGTCCAGTGACGCTTGCCTAAGAACAAATGCATGAGTGAAAACTTTCAAATAAATGAATAAATCCTTCAAAAAAGAGGGGTGGCTCCTTCACAGTGTTGTAAAAATGTGTTGAAAGTGTTGAAAAAGAGGCATTTTTCCTTTTCATATTAATTAAGATTTTTATTAGAGCCACTGATACTGAATACTGTATATGTGCACTGCTTTTGTACTTTTCAGACTGGAACATGTAAAACTAAAACTTTGTGATTAATTCTGCTTCACAGAAACTGTAAACCCACATTAATAAGGATTGTTTCAGATTTTATATATTAAAACATTTGGCAGCGTACCTGTTCTCCTGGTTTTCCAGCCACGCCCTGAGGTCCAGGTGATCCTGCTTCTCCCTTCAGACCTGTCTCACCTGTTTCACCTTTGACCCCAGGCTGACCATCAGGACCCTGGGAAAGAAAAAAAGAGATGAATCTCTCTTCAGTTACCTTCTAGTTTATTATTCTGTTAATCCTTCGGTGGTTTTGTGCGTCACACTGTAACAGGCCACTTACAGGAGGTCCAGGGAAGCCAGCAGCACCAGTTGGACCAGGCTCACCGGTAGATCCCTGTGAACATGGTCACACACACCAATACACACAATCAAGAAGAAATTACAGCATTGAAAAAAGTGAATATCAGCTCAAATAAATGTAAAATAAAATATTGTGCCTACAGCGATTCCTCTTGTTCCTCTGCGCCCTGTTGGTCCGGATGGGCCGGTTTCACCCTGAAATGAAATATTGTAAATATTTAAAAACAAAAATACATAACCAGTATTTATTAACAAGAGTATATTTACATAAATACAAAGTCCTTAAAGCCCTCTAACAATATATTTTTTATCTAATGTTCACAAGTTATCATAAAATCATCACAAAATCACCTTACGGGACTTGAAGAGCTCTAAATCAGTTTTACAGAAACAGTGCAGGGTCACTGTTAATCATCTTGTAGCTGTGCTTTGTGATAAATCATTAAACTGAAACAAACACATTTCTGGGCTGAAAAACAGCTTTTATGCTTACCTTCACTCCGTTTGGTCCACTGGAACCAGCAGGTCCAATGGGACCAGGAAGCCCCTGGTGCAATGACATGAGGAAATATATTAGACATAATTTAGACATATATTAGTCTTGCAGGCTGCAGGTAGTGAATTTTATTTTTATTTTTATTAGTAGACTATGATTTCATATGTTGTTTTTCACATTAACAATCTTGATTTTGTCTTTGCACAGTGGACTTGGAGAGAAATCACCAAGTAAACCAGCAGAATTTCGAGGGATTTATATTTGGATTTAATCACAAACTTGCTTCAGGTGAAGTGAAATATTTCGACACACAGTTTTTTCATCTGCAGTAAGGATCACGGTTATGGGGACTCACCCTCGCTCCATCAGCCCCCGCCTTTCCTTCTGGTCCTTTTTCTCCAGTAGCGCCCTGTTAGAACAAATCAGGTTCACTTAATGGTTTCTTAGTTTTCCCTCCTTTGGTTCTGATTATCCCCAATATCTCGAGGTCTCACAGTACCTTACATTTTGCTCCTCTTACAGTCATGCTATTGGTAAAGCTGCTGTCTTTTTCTTTGGAGATGGTGTAATGAATGTATTCTTTAACTTACAGCATCTCCCTTCGGGCCTGAAGATCCGGGTATGCCTCTTTCTCCTGGGATCCCCTGAAGTCCTGGACCTCCTGGCTCTCCAGCAGCACCCTTGGGTCCATGGCTACCCTAAAATGTGCAAAGTAAGCAGCAAGGCTTATTATAAACAATTTAATGCAAGCAATGAGTCTTTTTGTTGTTCAGGGTTAAGCATCAGTAGTTTTATGGTTACCATACCTTTAGCCCATCTGGTCCGGGTGCACCTGGACTACCTTTGGGTCCCTGCAGCCCATTGGGCCCAGTTTCACCTCTTTCTCCTGGAGAACCTCTCTCTCCCTGCAAGAACAACCAAAATCTAGTTGGTATTGCTTTCAGAACTGCACATGATTATTTGCAGCTAGCAGGTTTTTAATTCTATCCATCAAGTCTAACAGTCTGCAGTCCATGAACTAACCTCAGCTAACGCCAGCTAACAAAGTTAGCTCGGTGGCGAGAAGACTTCAGTAATAGAAATCACACAGCAATAGTACATTCATGTAGTTGTAAAAAGCATGATAATATATCAAGTAATCCAAAGTATTCAGAATACGTTACTCACATTAAGTAACTTAACGGCCATGTATTCTGTAATCTGTAGCATTTTAAATGTAACCTTCCCAACACTGGATGTGCTTAGTGCTAACGTGCAACAGTTTTCCAATTTCATTGTACTATCGTACTAAGCATGACTGTGCAATGACAATAAAGAGTTATCTTTATAAGTTATCTTAAATAAATCTGTTTTGCTGCATGTTAATCTACAGGTTTTGACATTTTATAAAATACGAACAAGTTAAAAAAAAAGAACATTTTGTATTAGCTGTTTTTTCACATATAATAATAATAGATGCATCTTTTAATTAAGTTAATCCCATTTTATACAATTTTAGGATATATTTCCATTTATGTTCTAAAAATCCTTTCAGACTGGTTACCAAATCAAACCTTTTTAAAACTTTTGACATTTCAAGAAGAAACTCAACTACTAAATCATCAATAAGTTATGAAACTAATATTTCTTTTCTATTTTAGATCCTTAACTCTTACAGCTCATCATCATTAGCTGGAAACAAGTTCAACCGAAAAGAAAAGTAAAACTTATAACAATCATCAGACGATCAAAATCAATCAATGAAAACACAAAGGGATGCACCGAAATTCTTGTTTATACGATGATTAGAGCTATGGGTGGGTTACAGAAAATGTTCATGTTTCAAGCTGGACTGTGATGATCTGAAGTTTCAGAACTGAGCAATAGAAAAGTGGAAATTGGACTAACAGACTTACTCTTGGTCCTGTAGCGCCAACTTCCCCAATCTCTCCTGCAAGACCCTACAAAAAAACCCCCATTAAGCAGATTTTACATGCTGTATAGAAGTCCCTGCACAATTTATATTATGTGGGTTAACTTGAAAAATATTTTAAAATACCCGAGTCGTACCTTGTCACCTGGCTTTCCTGACTCTCCAGGTGGGCCTGGTGTTCCGGGCAAACCCTAAAAACACCCCAAACAGTTTTTATTTTATTTGATAATCATAAAAACAATAGAGAAGAACTTTAATCGTGGCCAATCTCCTTTTTTACCTGGTTAAATAAATAAAATAAAGAATTAAAAGTGAGATTGAGCTCCAGTGATAGGAACTAAATTCTTTGCGTTATGTGATGAAGAGTACCTGGAAGCCAAACACTCCCTGAGATCCCTGCTCTCCTCTCTTCCCTGCAGGACCCTGCAGGACAAACAAACATATTATATTAAAAACATAACTGTTTACATTATTAATAATGAGAAACTCTCAGCTGATACGGATGCTTACAGCTGGGCCAGGTGGGCCGGCGGCGCCTCTCTCTCCATCTTTTCCATTTGGTCCCTAGAGGACAGTAAAGAGCAGCATTTATCAGCATGTTTGTGCTTGAGATGAAGAGCGTGAAGCCTCAGCAGGAAATATGAGCTGTATTTGTATCAACTTGCCCTTTGACCTGGAGCTCCTGGACTTCCAGCTTCTCCAGCCTTCCCAGCATCACCCTAAAAAACAACAGGGACCATCAATCAGCATATTTTGTGTTATTATGGAGCTTTTTTTGCATTTATTTTTACAAATATATTCATCTGGCTTCTCTCATTAGGCTTATCTAGCCACACTCATTCGTACTGACTAGGAAGCCCTTTGGTCCCGGCAGGCCCATCGGCCCAGCTGGGCCTCTGTTTCCAGTTGAACCAGCTGGGCCTTGTTTGCCGTCGTCTCCAGCGGATCCCTGAGAAGACAGAAACACATTTACTGCTGAGCATGTGTGTGCAAATCTACAAGTGGTGAAAGTTAATGCATTTGATTACATACCACCGGTCCTTGCTTCCCCTCTGCTCCCTGGGCACCTATGAGACCTGTGAGACCCTGTGAAGTAACACAAACAAGTCTTTTAAATGCTGAATGAAACAAGAGTTTCTGGTTAAGTTCAGGTGAGTTTGAGGGTTTTTTTCATCATCCTTTCTGACTCTATTGGGGACCATAATTTGCAAACTAAGTACTATATTTTAATAAATCAGACTTCAGATTTGTGTTTGATAGCATAAGCTCATCAGAAAAAGGTTACTGAAGTCATAGTATAATAATTTCTTTCATACATGTTTACATAACTTGACTTATTTTTTAAGTAGAAAGGTTGCTCTCCAGTGGTCATCAGTAGGAATGCAGGTTTAAACCTGCAAGGCCACATATTTTTTATATGCAGTTTTTTATATGCATTATAAAGACTCCAAGCAAAGCTAGCACTTCTTGTCACTAGCTAATTCTGCTATGCATGTTTATTTAAATACCAACTTAGAATCGCTCTTGAAGATTGCAGTTTAAAACAGAGTATGGCCATAAAATTCAGGCACATGCAAGTTTCTCAAGGATAATTTAATGAAGATGCAACACCTAAAGACCAACTAATTTCAGATTAACTTTAAGTCAGTTTGCTGTTGAAGCAGCATGCAGTGCAGCAATCTGAATAGATGAATCTGTGCATTCCCTGACCAGTTGGCAAGCAGTTGCTGGAGTTTTGAACTTTGAACCATAATAAATAATGTATACTATATAATGACCCCGTGGGGAAATTACTTGTTTTTCTCTGCATTTGACCCATTCACTCAGTGGGCCGCCACTAAGCAGGCGGCCGGGGAGCAGCGTGTAGGGACAGTACCTTGTTCAGGGGTACCTCATGGTAGCTGTTCAGTGGATTCGAACCCCCGCCCTTCCGATCATGGGGCAACCACTCAACCTACTGAGCTATCCCTGCCCTAAATCACAATAAAGTGCCATAATAAATATTAATAAACAGAATAAATATGGATCATACGTGAGATTTTGGGTCATATAAAACAGAATCAAGAGGCAGTATAGAATAAAATGCGACTATTAGAGCAGAATAAAATCTTGTGCCTAATAAAAACTTAAAAGCAGTTTACACTCTGAAATCACAGGTTCTGGTTTAGCATTCTGTGATAGAGAAGATGCTGTGAGAAGGTTGAGAAGGATCAGTTATGATGCTGGGACCTCTGCTTTTGAAGGATTTGAAGGATTTCATGGCTGCTGAGGTCAGAAGTCTTTACTCTGAAGTTAAATATGACCATTTAACCATCCTTTTATTGTATTGCACAGTTGTTCAACACTGGTACCTTGTCTGATCCAGCAGCTTTCTAGCCTGTGCACCCTCCTGTGGTTGGTGGCCTCAAAGAGTAAAAGGTGCCGAGGTAGGTATCTGGTAGGGCGGGGTCATTAAGGTCTAAGTGTACAGTGGGTCTGTTATGGGTAAAATGATTTGACAATTCTTTCCTGCTGCCCTGATGTCGAGGAGCAGGAGGCAAACACTTGCCAACTGCTCCTCGACATTGACCTTCAAAGTAAACGTTGTGCCTTATTGCTGCAGCCAACACATTTCCGAAAGCTCAATTTTTACTTTGAAAGTCAAGTTTCTACTTCTCCAGGTTGTGTTGCAACTTTTTCAAGTTTCACTATGACTCAAAGAATAGTTATCACATGTTTGCAGACAAATCGATATCTTCCATGTAAATAACAGGCAACCTGCTAACAACCAACCAGCACCGAATACCTCTTTGCAGCCAATATCATCAATTATTATTACCAATATAATTCTGGAATACACATTTTTTCCTGCGACTGGAGATTTTCAGGTACTCACTGACTGGCTTCTATGCTGCCATGACTTTGGCTTTTCAGCTTCACAGCAAATGTCATCAAGCTGCAGCAACCACTTGCCAACCACTCAGAAGAGAATCATTTCCCTTGTGAGCAGAGGTTGTCAGACGCTCACTTTTATATACAAAATCCTGCAAACATGAGCAAAAGGATGAAATAAACTTTCTGCTCTAGGCAATGAATTACAACATGCGACTTTACCCGAGCTCCTGTCAAGCCCGACTCTCCGTTGCGTCCTGGATCTCCAGATAAACCTTTGGCGCCTGAAGATCCTGGCAGCCCTCTCTCGCCCTGGGCTCCCTGTTCAGAGAAAGTGTGAAATATTCAAAAATCACAGAAATGAACGTGACGAACCTGATGGCGAATTAGAGTCATAAATACTCACCTTTGGGCCTGGTAAACCGTCAGCACCAGGGAAACCCCTATTTCCTGGTGGTCCCTTTAACAAAGAAAAAGAAAGCTATAGTCTGTCTTGTTTCCAGCGTGTAGTTTCGAGTTAAAAAAGGGATACATTAAATATATTATACATGACTGGACTGTGAATATTCTTGATGGACTCACTGTCTCTCCTGGGGATCCTGGAGGCCCGATGGATCCAGCATCACCTCGGGGTCCACGCTTTCCATCTTCTCCCATGGGCCCTAAGGGACCTGGTGCACCATGGTCACCCTAACATAAATTCATACCCACTGAATCAGTTGACAAACCCTTAACCTAACCACCAAAATAACATCTAAGATGAACTTTTAGGGTCTTTATTTTGGGGTAGCTTTGGTCTTACCCGCTCTCCCTTCAATCCAGCCTCTCCCTTGAATCCAGGAGCTCCAACATCACCCTGGAGAAGAGTTTAAAACAGATATTTTAGGATAGAGAAATGAAGACTCACATGACAGGGAGAGAGAAAATTAAAAAAATGAGAGCTCATACCAGTTGGCCTTTTGCTCCAAGAGCTCCTGTTGAACCCTGGGGGCCGGGGGGGCCAGGGGGACCAACCATACCAGGTGGACCCTGGAGACCGGCTATACCCTGGTCAGGTGACAGAGCAGCAATAGATTAAATAAAGACCTTTATTGTAAGACATTTGTAGACAAAGATCAGCTGGTTAAAGAGCTTTGCTGCAATCACTTACCGCTGAGCCGCGGGGACCCAGAGCTCCATCCTGTCCTGACGCGCCCTGTTCAAAAACGAAAATATTAACTGGGAATGGTGGTAATGTGAGGCCAGAATGGGTCTACAGCTATTTTAGCAACAAGAATGATAAAGTACAACACCTGCTGTCCGATGGGTCCAGGTGGCCCGACACGCCCAACGTCGCCCCTTGGCCCCTGCTGTCCCGGACTTCCTCTGACCCCTGTCGGTCCCGCTTCACCCTACACCAGCAGGTACATTCAGGAAATATTAAAGTACTTCTAGGGTGACTTCAGTGACTCAGAAACATCTGTCACTTAGATACTAATCGAAGTGCGTCTGAGAATGAAAACAGACTCCTTACAATTCAAGCGTCAAATAGTCTCACCTTCATTCCAGGGTTACCGGGAAATCCTGGTATACCAGGGATTCCTATTGGCCCCTGTGGTTAAAGGAAAGTATGTTTAATACTTAAGAAAAATCTAATCTGATATTTTGTTGACAATCTGGGTAAATGGTGCTCCAAATATAAACAAATGGGCTACTAAGAACAACTAGAGGATAAAATGTAGTTGTGGTGGATGTTTTTGTGTTGTGTGTTGGTTTCTGTTTGGTTTTCACTGTTGTTCTAGCAGCTAAAGTTTTATTTTTTGCTGTACTGCAGTCACACTGAGGATAACAGTGGTTGGAGACCGCAGAGCAACCAAAATTATTATGATCGAGTGCAACGAAGCTGTGATTTTTTTGCTGGTTCAAAGACAGGGACTGGGTCTGTGAGAGCCCAGGTAAGTAACTCTGAGTTTCCTGTTACAGATAGGCTGATTCGAATAAGCTCAATCAACACCAACTATCCAACATTTACCATGGCAACAGGTAAAAAACTAGCGGGACCTCCATTTTAATCCAGTGGAGCAAGAAATAAGAAAAAAAAAACACATCCCCAAGTTAATTCTTCCTAAACGGATACAGCTGGATGTCAATACAATTTTGCTTTGAATTACTAATTATTCAGACTGTCCACATGTACACCGGTGTTTTTCCCACTCATCTTGATGTTTTTTCCATTGGTAAATGGGATTTAGGTCACTGAAAACTGAGCTTAAAAAAAGAACTATGTGTTTATGTGTGGACCAACAAAATAGATTTTGTCTCACAACGAAGTTTGCACCGTGTTATTGTTTGTTGGCTCCTGATAGGTTAACATTTCTTGGGCTATATCGCCACCTGTTGGTTTGCCATGCTCTTGACAGGGCATGACAATTTTTAATTTGGATATGTTTTCCAAACATGGCCTCAACTTTAAGCTGACAGGGACAAAATGACTGAAGATAAAAACATCGCCAAATGCTGAAATGCTGTCAGAACACATTCAGACTCTTGATAATTTAAATTTAATTTTGTTTAATTTTCTCAATTTTCATTTAAATATTCAGGTTAACGTGAACAAAATTACAACACGACAAATATTAGCCACTGGTTAGTGTTTTATGATAAATGGACTGGTTCTTATATAGTGCTGTTCTACTCTACCTGAGCACTCAAAGCACTTTATACAACTTGCCTCATTCACCCATTCACACCCACTCACACAAGCACTTTTTCTTCACAAGTGCTCTCTATCTTTGAGGTTAGTATCTTGTCCAAGGATATTTGGCATCCATATCAGAGCAGCCAGGGATCGAACCACCAACCCGATGTCTTCACTTTTAACAACAAACATTTGGATTTAAATACAACATCTTATTTTAACTTTGTGGATTTGATTTGAGGATTTATATTTAACATTAACACCACATATGGCTGTAAATGTGGTAATAAAAAATGTGCAGTTTAAAACAGGAGCCCCTTATCGAACAGATAAATTAATAATAAGCCCACATTGTCCATTGATTGAGTTTCTGTCCTTTCGTTGATGACGGACTGATTATAAAGACGCTTTGGCTCAGAGTTTCCTTCTTCCTGTATTGGTTGAGTTTTGGAGGTTTTTTTGGAAAACTTCACTGTTCTGGTCTGTTTTTACGGAGTTTGGTTTGGTTTTCTCTTGTTGAGTGTATCGGTACTCTTGTCTTGTCCCCCTTTGCTTTTATCTGCTTCCTGAGTTACTTTTCTTCTGTTTCCTTGTGTTTTTGTTTCTTTTTTCCTTTTAAGACTTCAGTTTGTTTGTTTTTTTTACTTACATCGGCCATCAGATTTTGCTCTTTCATCCTGCGATTGGAAACAGCAACAGTATTTTTCTACTAAACAAATTAAATTAACTAATCTAAAGGTGTTTTTTTAATAATGAGTAATATCATATATCCAGTATTTTGTCCTATGTGGTTTTTGTTCAGTCAAAACATGCAAATTAAAGATATTAACTTATGCTTTCAAATCACAAGGGAGATTTTTCTCTATTTTCTGATGTGCTAGACACTAAAACAAGAAGCATGTTAGAGGATTAAAATTATATTTTTATGTTTTGAAAAAATCTCAGGGTCTGAAAGGAGGTGTGTCCCTCGGTGTGGTCAGAAGTGTTGGAAAAAGTAGATTTAGTAGATCTTACCAGAGGACCTGGTTTACCAACATGGCCGGGTGTGCCACGTTTACCCTAAGAGAAAAACACAGATTAAGATAAATAACTTAATGTGGAAACATATCTTTGGATTTTCTTTTTCCTTTTCTTGTCATGTGGCTCAATTATTTGTCTCATACCACAGAGCCGGTCGTTCCGGCTCGGCCTCTTTCTCCCTGCATCCCAGGTGGTCCCTGAAACCAAAGATGGAGTCAGTATCTCTGCAGCAGACTAATATCCTCTCTTTTTAACTGTGTTTTTTAACTTACCACTGGACCAGGAGCTCCCATTGCACCAGGAGTACCAGAAGCACCCTGCAAATCATAGACACCGAGCAGTTATGCACAGATTGTGCAGCACATGTGACTGAAACAACCTTTCAAACGTGGAAACAAGTGATCAAATTTCTGTTTGGAGTTTGATTTTGGAGTTAATTTAAAAATCCTGTTTCATTCTGAAACTAAAACATGAGATAAATGCAATGAAGTGTTTGTTATGAAAATGTTATGTAAAATAGTGTGATTCCAGTTCAGCTGCTTGTAGTAGAGGCAACAACAATTCACACAAATTAAATAGATTAGAGTTCTCCTTATCCATACTGACTGTTTTTTCTCTAGTTTAGCCTTTTTTGTGTGTGTTCTTGACACTGCTGTGTGTACCAGAGACGGGCCGTTACACAAGTGAGGAGAGTTTGGTGGAGAAGGACAAAGCATCGAGCAGGAGGAAAGATATCTACTCCCGAGGAACAGGAGGAGCATCACATGTGCCCCACAAAATGACCCACATCGGGCTATTCGTGGATGTTTCTGACAAAATGTGTCAGGAACAGACTTCAAGAGGTTGGCATGAGGTCAAAGAGTCCATTGATGTTACGTAACCCTCATGCCGCATGCTTAGGTCCCACTAAAGGCTGTTGGGACCTGCAATCACAGTCCAACGCTGTGCAGAAACAACAGAACTGGCAGGGCCATCACTGGTGCCCTGTTCTCTTCACTGATATGAGCAGGTGTGTCAGACGTATCAGAATCGTTGGCAAATGTTATACTTCATTTTTAAGTACCACCACCAGCAGCGGGCCTGCCAATTCTGCTGTTCTGAGACAAACGTCAATCAGGCTGCACAATGGCTCAGGATGGTTTCTGCTTCCTAACTGGAAAAACTGACTTCCATAAAGTTTAACCTCCCTCACAAAACAGAACATTGGTCATACGTGCTCTTTGCTTCAATGGGTCAATGGTAATTTCATCTAAACAGGTCAACATCTTTTTACCACCTTGATAGCACGAAGATGCATACAAGTGTACATCTGGGCATTTAACACTGATCCAGTGCCAAATGAGTGCCGTGTGATTCAGTGAATTTGATATATTTACATACATTAGGGCCAATTTAGCCTCTCTGTTTCATCTCTCAGGTGATTGAGATGTAGCTGTCTAACTAAAAGTGTCTCTGTTTAAAGCTAAAGCACATAGACATTTACAGTCACTGGAATCACCAGCTAACTTCACAAGCTTGTATTTGGACACCGTCGAACCATTAAATAATTTTTTTTAGATAATTTAAAGCAACTGCACTGAATATTGTTCCTTTAAGACTTAAACTATAATTCCTACTATTCTCTCAAAAGTGAGAGTTAGCTACCTTCACTCCAGCTGCTCCAGCCTTGCCTCTTGGTCCAACAAGTCCACTGTGTCCCTGTTGTAGAGGTTTAAATTCACAGACTGGTTAGTTCTTGATATTTCATACATGAAAACTAATGAGTAATAATGAGGAAAAAGGACTTACTTTGTGCCCTCTCAGTCCTGGATTACCTGGAAGTCCTGGGAATCCTCTTGCACCCTGTATTCAAAAGTAATCACATCATTCCTGATCGCGTTTTCGCTCACTGTCTCTCAGATTAGAGTAGGTTATTGTATCACTATTATCATGACAATAGTAGGATTAAATATTTTTTGGCATGACAACTGGTTACCGCTGATCCTGGGTATCCTGGTTCTCCGGTTGCTCCTGCAGGTCCGGGTTGTCCCTGGAAAAGACCATCAGGTGGTTATGGAATAATTACAGATAAAAGAAGAATCCTCATCAGTATCTGTTACATGACTCACATCAAGTCCAGGTTTTCCTGGTGGTCCATCAGGTCCTCGATGACCCGGCTCCCCCTGCAGACACACACGTACAGTCACATTTAAATTTCACTCTTTAACATGTAAAGAAGCATTAGAGTTAATCCAAGATGAAGAAACGAGTGTACCATCAGTCCTGGATCTCCAGCTTCTCCAGGAATTCCTTGACCACCAGCAGGACCCTGAGCAGGAAAATTAAAGGTCACATTTTTAGGCATACTTTTCCTACAAAGTAAAACTAATATTTGGCTCTAAAACTTCATTACAGATAAAGACTCACTGGTGGTCCAGACGGTCCTGGAAGTCCTCGTGGTCCTGCTTCACCCTGAAATGGCAAACGATTATGCACTGCAGTTTAAACTCTTCAAGCTTCCGGACTTTGCATATGTAAAATATGCAGTTTAAAAGTGCTCACCCTGGATCCTGTTAGCATTGCAGATGGACCCGACTTCTCGCTAAAACCCGAAGCCATCTGTGTCACCAGGTTACCCTACCAGGAAGAGGTTGATCCAAAATGAATCATTCATGGAGAAAATTTGATTTGTTTGGTTTTTTTCTTATGAAATTTGCATTAACTAATTAAAAGAAGTTGGAGAGCAGCTCACCCCAGGGTGCGAGGGATGCCCAGGTGGTCCCGGTTCTCCTGGATTTCCTGGTATACCGGGCTCACCATCAAATCCTGGAGGCCCTGGGAAACCCTGCAATTTGCATAGGTTAATGAGTGGCACCCAGAAGGTACTGACTGGTTACATGACCAGAAGCTTAATTCTGACATTTTGTTTGCAGTTTATGATTTTACTACAGTTATCCACATGTGAATAATGTGTAAATGTCAACGAGAGGGTGTGGTATCAGATTCGCTGCATCTACTTGAGGACTTTGAGGGCCTTGAGGTGTTTAATGCACCTTTATACTTGAAAAACTAAGAACCCCCCAGCATTCAGTAGCTGGCAGCTACTGAACAGTGTTAGTAGCAACAACTTGACAAAATTATTTCCTGTGGGGCTTTATCAGTCTCTCACACTGTGGTGGAGGAGTATCGGTCCACGCTTGAGATTTTCATTGAGATTTTTGGTTGTTCATTTATGCACAGCTCTCTTAAGGTCCCATCACAGTATTTTAACTGGATTGAGGTCTGGACTGGACCACTGCAGCACTTTGATTCTTTTCTTTTTCACTCATTCTGTTGTAGATTTGCTGCTGTGCTGTTAAGGTCAAGCTTTATCTGTCTTTTGTGGCTTGCTCAGATGCAGCTTTGCAAACCTAAACTGTGCTGGCGTGTTTTTTCTTAGAGAGAAGAGGCGTTTTCCTGGAAACCTCTCCAAACAACCTATAACAGAGGCTCTACACTACAATCTTTACCACGACTGGCTATTTTATGCTACACTATTGAATGTTCATGTTAAATAAACATATTAGATAAACTTTAAAACGTGTTTAAAGTAATACATAATTGCCAATGTTGTTTATATCTTTATCAATATCTGGCATCAGCCTGTCATCAACTTATTTGTATGTTAAACTGCTAAAGACTCACTACAGCTCACAAGCACACTGTGCTGCCCCTCTACAGCTGTCCAGAAGTCAGCCAATCAGAAGAAACTGACTAAAAGGAGGTGGACCTAAAGCTGGTCATACACTGTGCAATTTTTTCAGTCGCGTTTCAGCTTCTGCTCAAACTGCACGATTGACTCGCAGGGGTTAGAAGTTCATAGGTCACGATGCAGGGTCTCACACACCGATGCTCTGATGTGACCTGAGTGCTCACCGTAAAATGAAGGTTATAACAGGAATTCTGTCGCTCGCTCTCTCTCTCTGTCTTTCACTCACACAGACACACCACCACCATCAACTTTGCTAAATTGCAAATGAAAAACATTGATCAGGCAGCTGTGATTGAGCAGCAGTGTAGATCCAACTATTTTCACGGTTGTTGTGGTCGTGATAATTTTGTGAGGCCACATTGAAAAGGCTCGGATAAGCTTGCCATAGTTCTACAAGTTGTGCCTCCATGGCTTCTGTCCAGATCAAACGCTGCACTGCCGTGCTGCGCCGTCTTTTTCGCTGACATTTGTGTTTGCGCGTGCGCAGTGTGAGAAGCTGCGGTGACAGCCTCACGATGGTCACGACCAAGCGATTGATGATCGGGAGCTGGTCGTGAGGTGTAGTGATGGGATTTCCGGCTCTTTTCAGAGAACCGGCTCTTTCGGCTCGGCTCACTAAAAACAGCCGGCTCCTTCGGCTCCGAACCGGCTCTTCAGGGTGTTATGTTGCTTTAATTAATTTATTATTAACAATAATATAAAATTATGCACAAAAGGAATTACTAATGTAAAATAAATTGTTTTATTTATATATGTTTATATATAAATATATGCGGCGGCCCCTAGAGACAAAAAACGTACAAACTCCAAAACACATTTCTAGCGTTAACTGAATTTCCAAAACAGAGCTACCTAGATCACTTAAATTACACAATTGAAAGCATATGTGTATTGTTTGTGTATTTATACACAAGCATTCATATATATTCAAATAATAAAAAAAAAAATGCTCATTTACCTGTTACTACCACACACCAAATCCGGTTGTTGGTACTTCCTGGCTTGTGTAGCCACTACGTAACAAAAGCTCAACACTGCGCCCAGCATCCTGGAGCACTTCTGTTGTGTTTTGTACTTGTTTTGGAGTTTTTATGTGCTTCTGAGTTTTTACGTGCTTCTGAGTTTGTACGTGCTTTGTCTCTAGGGGCCACCGTAAATATACTTTTATTTCTTCAGTTCACATAAAATGTAATAAATAAATCATATAATACAAAAACAAACTATTCACATTTCAACTTTTAACTATTTAAATTTTCAGCTTTTTCCTTTTAAACAAATTTAAAGTGAAACAACACAAAACACTGCAAACCACAACACAATTAAATATAAATTAAAATATGAAAACAAAAAGAAGATGCATATTCTCTGTCATATGGACCTGCATGAATAAACTTTCTGAATCCTTTATCATCCGCAACTGAAAATAGTTGTGGATGATTACTATACCTTTCTAATGTGATGCTGTTGCCCCTGGCTCTCTTTCTCTCCCTCCCGCTCTGTTCCTGTGCTACTGTGAGTGTAACTACCGTCCCTCCCCCTCTTCCCAGCGCAAAAGCACAAGACAAGGCTCGCATGCAGAGTGAAGTGGAAAAAAAGTGCGAGAGAGAGGGTGAGAGAAAGAAAAAAAAAAACCCCACGGCTTGCGATAAGGAGCCGGCTCGCGTCGTTCACGTCAAAGATCCGGGTCTAAGAGCCGTGTAGTTCGCAACCGACAAATGACTAGTGAGTTGTTAATCGCTTCTCGTTACCCCACGTATACTACACGATGCACGAGACACAGACGATGAAGGCCAAAATCAGGCCGATCACCAAAACGGTCGCACGACTCAAAAATCGGCTCAAAATGGGGCAAAAAATCACACAGTGTAAGCCCAGCATTAAAGAGGCAGCACCTAAAAAACATCTTGTTTAACATGTTGATGAACTGCGGGCTGCAGTTGAAGTTGCATTGTAGCATTGCTATGTAGCATTCTCACCAAAACAAACAAACAGATTTTTAGTTATGATGTTGTGTTTAAATTAAACTATCCAGCAATTAAACATTAACTGTGGTAGTATAACAGTTGCAGGAGCTATTTTCTTTCATCATGAACATCACCTATTGACTCATAGGTCCACTAGTTCCCTGTGTATTGGTTTCAACTTACCCGTCTGCCTTTAAAGCCTCTTGGTCCAGGGCTTCCCTGAGCCCCTGGAGGACCCTGAGCAAAGAGAACAAGCCATAAGAGCATTGAAACATTGGTCACTGTCTAATTACTGGAATAATCATGCAGTGAAAATAGTATACACTGTAAAAAAAATTATAATATAAAAGTTTTTTACTGTGTATTTTACAGTTCTGTACTGTTCTTCTAGTCTATTCACATAATAGACTTCAAATGTAAATTAACGTAAAATCACTGTAAGTGTCATAAAACATAATTTTCTTGTTTTTTAAATGCATTTGTCTGTACATATGCATATTTAGATTGTTAAAATACATTCACAAATGTATCATAATTTCACAAATATTTGTCCGTTATTTGAAAGATTGAACTGTTAAATTCAAATGTAATGCTGTGGAAAAATATATAAAATGATTCTTATGAACTTTTTTTACATCAAATAATTATTATTATTAGTGTTATTTATGGCGATCGTGGCTCAAGAGTTGGCAGTTCGCCTTGTAATCAGAAGGTTGCCGGTTCGAGCCCTGGCTCAGATACTCTCAGTTGTTTTGTCCTTGGGCAAGACACTTCACCTACCACCTACTGGTGATGGCCAGAGGGGAATTATGAAGTGGAATTGTAAAGCGCTATGAGGGTCTCAAAAAGCGCTTTATGAATGCAATCCATTATTATTTAAACCAACTGTTAACTGTATATTTCTGTACATTGAAGTATTATTATTCGTATTGCCGCATTCATTGACCTTGTTTATAGGTAATTTCATTGTTTAATCACATTAAAATGTTCCTAATTTAATGTTTAAAAGCACTTGAAAAAGGCAAAATCGCATGTAAAATTAGGGCAACAAACTGTATTGTCATTACTGGAAATAACCATATTTTCATGAGAAAGCTATTTTCTGTTATTTTCTGGTATTATTTCGGCGCCCCAGCTGACGGAATATTACTTTTTTCTTAGGATTTTTTTTTTTTACGGTGTACATGAAAGCATTTGTCCTGGTAATTGTAATAACACATGCTAGTATTGCATTTTGCTGCCCTCTACTGTGACTCCAGTTATCATGTGTAATACTGTGACAGCAAACAGAAAGATAACAAGGACAGACAGGGGGATGAAAGAAAGAAAAAAGCTCACCGAGGGTCCTGAAGGTCCAGGAATCCCCACCACCTCCACAACACAAGAAAAATTAAGTTCATTAAATGAATTATTAAGACTTTTATCTAGTCATAATTAATTAAAAAAGTTAAATTTATATGCAAAGTGCACTAACGCCTAACTTTTTCCTTTTACTTACATATGGGATGTCTCCTGGTTCACCCTTTTGCCCCTAAAAATAAAGCCAAGCAACACTTTTTAGTGACAATGTTCCCAATTTATGATATTTTTCTTAACTGACTGTATGACTTACCTTGAGGCCCATAATTTCTTGGGAAAAAAAGAGAAAAAAAGATTTTTATTTATTTTATTTTTCACAATTTATGTAGTAAATCTTACCCTTTAAAGAACCCTTTAAATAAAGATAAGACATAAAATAAAGTATCTAAGTTTTATAAGGGGTGTAAATCTAACACAAAGTGACCATCTCTCTTCTGGATGCAGGTAAATCTATCTCACCTATCATCCTGCTGGCACTTGCGAAGTTGTCGCACACAGGGCAGCACTCTCCCGCGGGCGTGACAGCCTTCTCACAGTTTGACAGGACCTCGCACTGTATCTCATCACAGACAGTGACGCCGTTGTCACAGACGCACACGCGACAAGGTTCGGGTTTCCAGATGTCATTGTGATGGTAGACCTCCCCATTGACTTTGCAGTTTTCCTCCTTCTTCTCATCTGCAGCTGCAAGAAAAAACCCCCAAAATGGCTCAAACAGATGGACAGACAACCAGGAAATTCATTTACACATTCTTGGGAGCAACAAACAACCGTGATCTCCTTTCCTTCCCCTGTACACATAAAGTCATAAACAATACATCATCATAACAGCATTTGCTTTTTTACATTATGAATTAGAAAATTTTAAAAATTCGATTTTTCATTTTATAACATACTCATTGTTGTGGTATGGACTGAAGTTCCATTTACAGACAGGGGCGTCACCAAAGGGGGGTCTGGGGGGGCACTGGCCACCCCCGGCAAGACTGCGAAATACTGGTAATAATTTCAATAAATGTGAACACAATAGAGAGGAAGAATCTTTAAAGTGCTGGTTGGGACTGCCAATCAATCAGTCAGTCAATAAATTAAAACAGATAATTATGGATTTAAAAATGTTATTTGGTTTTCATATGTACCTATTTTTCAGTGATGTCAACTTTAATATCAGGAAATTAACTAGACATATAATTATTTTCTGTCTCTCTGTTCTATAGGTTACTTATTTTATTTATAGGTTAGGTTGCTTTTTTTTCAAGTAACCTATATTTGACAACAGATGTGCCAACCCAATATTTTTTACTGGCCCTCATATGGCCGCCGCTATGAAAAAATTCTGGCGGCACCTCTGTTCACAGAGCACCCTTGTAGTTTCACTCACCACATTTTAAAAAGTTTTTTAACGAGTTTTTGTTGTTTTTTTTTTTTTTCAGGCTAATTTCAGCTAATCAACACATATTTGATCAAAAACTTGTTGCGGGGGGACCAGCAAAAAATTTCTGCCCTGGGGCCTCATTAAAGGCTCGTCCAGCCCTGGATCAACCATATAGTAAATTATATTTTCAATCACATAAAATGGACTTTTTACCTGTTGCGGGGTCTGTACTGGGAATCAATGTTGAAGCTGCAGTCAAGCACACAGGGCAACACTCGCCCTCTGGGGTCACCGTTTTTTGGCAGTCACCGAGGTCCTCGCAAACCACATCCTCACACATGGCGGTCCCCTTATTGCACACACACACCCGACATGGCTCTGGGCTCCACATGTCATTGTCAGCATAGACTTTTCCATTTTCTGTGCAGGTGTCTTCATGAAAGAGAAACTCAGTTAGTATGTGCTGCAACGGGCTGTCACTGGATTTTAAAAAAAGGATCTACATTTTAATGGAAATTCCCACAACTTTGCAAATTTACTGGAAAACACACATTTTAAAAATAAAACATACTCATTTATGAATCCATACTGTTGGGTTCCTTCAAAAATACAGTCAAAAAATGTAAAGTATGTGTGTTTTCTAGTCCTTAAAATACCAGCATCTTACTCTAACATGCATGAATCTCACGACCATGCCCACAATCATCCTTCTGGTGCATCATTAAGCCGAACTTTGTGCTTAGAGCAGCAGAAATACATCATCACAGATGCATGTAAAGAAATTATAAAAAAGCATTAAACATGACAAAGAAGATGTTGATTTCCCAGAGGAATACACCTTATTTGTTCAATAAGTTACTTTCTCA